TGGTTACCACGGCGGTACCACGACGATGGAACGTCGCGAGTGTTCAGTCAAATCCGCCGAAAACGGACGAGGGTGGCGTTAACGCGTCCCAACCGATTCGCCGACGCCTCGCGCACGTCGACTCGGTGCATACGCAAATGCCGCGGAGCATGGCGAAACGGCAGAAACGTCCAGCTTACGGAGGATTAACGTCACGCCTTGGCAGAGTCCACCCGTGGGACCGAGACCGGAATAAGAGTACTTCCCGTCTTATGTATGTGTGCGCTTTCCGAGATCATAAACACATCCGCAACTCCGTCGCAGCTTTCTACAATATTATGTTCAATCTTCGTGAGTTTCTGAGAGATCTACTCCGAATTCAACAACAGCGCAAATAATTGAAACATCCGTGTAAAAAAGTTTTATTGGAAACACTTTTTATTAGAGATCCAGCCAGACAACACGTCTTAAAGGCTGAGTTCTTATTACACGGAAAAAAAGTTTGGTTGTATTGATTGATTATCTGATGAAACATAAACAAACCAGAATTCTGTTCAAATTGACAAGATTGTTCTGTTCAAATTAACCAAAATCTCGTTAACGTTATCAGAATTCTAGTAATTTCAGCCAGGATTCTTGTTCGTTCATATTTCACCAGACATTTGGTTAATTGAATCAAATTTTTTTTTCCGTGTAATAATTGTTACTTGAGACTTATCTCATATAAAAAACTTAGATCTGAATTTCAAATTCAGAATAATGTTTTAGTTGCTTGTGTCTCAAAGATGTCTTTAAAATATTTTGAGACATATTAATGTTCTCCGAATGAATGTGTATGCGAGATATACTCTTACGGCTTTCTGTTCTCTACATAGATCACAATACCTCGAGCAAATTCCAAAACATTCGCATTCCACGAAAAGGCGCAAGGGATAGAGTCGAACCATTTGGACGGAACGTTTGCATAATTCACGCCGTCGTCGCGCCACTCGATTTTTGTCGCTCGCGATTCATGTTACGGATGATCGAGCATTCCGAGGGATAAAGCTTTGAGCGATCTGGTACTTGCGTTCGTCGGGATACACCCGACGAAGAATCCGTTGCGGTGGAATTCCGAGGACGCGCCGAGGGGATTCCCTCGCGCGTTCCGCAACGCGCGGCGTCGAGTCGCGCGCTTCCAGGCGCCTTTTTTATTTCGCGAAAATGAGAGTTTACTGCCTTCCGCGGGGTAAGAGAGAAGAACGCTCCTTTGTCTCTTTATGGTCGGAAAGTGGCCCATGGAGCAACCACGGTGCACAAGCCTGAGACCCAAGACAACATCGCCATCGCAGACGCCACCGCCACCGCCGTCGCCGTCGCCGCCGTTGCCATCGCCGGCACAACCGCGGCGGCCGTCTTCTTCTTGGACCCCACGAAGAAGTACGGTCGGATAATAACGAGTTTCGCTGTCGTCCCTTTCGCCCTGCGCGTAGCGCGAGTCGTAAAGTCAGCCAATGTTAGCCCCCCGCCCGTCCCGTCAACCGCCCCTCCTAGCCCCTTGGTCGCTGCCAGCCCGTCCGTTCGACCGTTTTTCTTCCGCGGCAATGTGGACGATCGTGTCAAATTTTTATTGCGCCAACAAGCCTGTCTCGCGCGAGGTCTCGCAATCGTCTCGCCTTATACGGCACTGCAATAATGGAAAGAAAGAGAGGAAGTGAGAGAAGAAGTTTTACTTTGTGCTCTGGGATTTCATCGACATTGCATCCCTCGTAGACATCAACACTTCGCTAAAGATAACGACGATGATTAGGTGGACATGATAAATCCAATAAGCGATGTACATATCTATCGACTCGACTAAATTCACAAAAAGTTGCAATATATATGAGAAAAATAATAAAAATTTATATATTTATATATATAAAGCAACAAAGTCCAATTCATTATTGCACGCACTTTGACGTAAAAAGGTTTATAAATCTGGGCAATCAATATATCATAATCTTTACAGAAAAATGTCAGTATCTTAAATTTCCAAGCAATCTTTTAATTTCAAAATAACGCAAATCTGTTTACAGGTTCTGATTTTATTGCACTACTATCTTACTTAGGTTTTCCAATGTCTGTGGATCAAAATTGCCCGAGTCTGAGAGACCCAGATTGTACATTGTATGTCCCAAGAAATGCGATTGTGCACGGAGAGTTAAGTTTTTGTATAATCAACGTTGAATCAATATCACAGGTGTGTTCTTTAAAAACAGTTGTCCTACGCGAGCCTCTTCACGTTCAATTCCACGAGACATGAAAAGTTCGCGTCGGCTAACGGGGGATCGTTCGTGATAGTTGAGTCACGTGGTTTATCACTGGTTCAACCCACAGCCACGATTCGTTGTCGCGTTCGTGTTCCCCGTTACGTCGTGCAATATTCAACGCAATGTCTATTACAACGCGAGAGTACCTGACGTTCCGCGCGTGATGCGATACGCGCCGATATTTTCTTCTCTTCTCTTTTCCGCCAACGAGGTACGCGGGCCGGGCGAGAAAGAGGCGAAGACGCATTACCAGATTGGCTCGCGTACGCCGCGTTCGCATTCAAGGGGGTCCTTTACATTCATGAAGCTTTTATTCGCTTGATTTGACTACGCGCTTCGTATTCGCGGCTCTCGATTTGATTTGCATTGATTGGAGTGGCCGGCTCTCTCGATAACGACCGTTTTTCTTTCGCGGGTTCCGTGATACGCGGCCGCGGAAACCTGCAGCGCGAACCTCCCGGGCTACCGCGGCACGTTACTGTAAATGCACGTGCACGCGTGCAGGTGCTTTCACGCTGATTTCGCGAGAGCGGGTCGCGTGCGCGTATTTCGCCGCGAGTGTTAAACTGAAAGTCCTGGAGTCCTGTCAAACTCCTGGATTTATCTTTTGAAAAATTTATTTGTGAAAGAAAATAAATATATATCCAGAATTATATATACACAATTATACATACAGCTATTAAAACTGTATTCATTGTTACTTTAGCGTAATAATTTTTAATTTTACTTTTTTTTATTTATAATTATTCTAAAAAATTGTAATTTTTTTAAGCACACATTCATACATTTCCGTTAATAAATAAATAGTTTCATCTGTCGCTGGAAAGATTTATAAGAATATAGTCATAAATATCACAAAAACTTTCTAAATGGCTCTGGAATATATATCTACAATTACGTCATACATCCCGAATAAATTGCAATATTGATTTAATTTTTAAATAGAATCGCGTAACATCGTGCATTACGTTACAAATTAAATGTTAAGTATATTGGTTACATCCATATAATAGTAGATAGTATCTGTACTATTTCTATATAAGATCTATATAAGATCTGTACTATAATACTATTAATATTTACTATCTGTAATATTAATGTCTGTAATAATACGTAAGTAATAAGCGTTTGTACAGACACTGCTGTAAAATACAATTTTACAAGCGTGTTACACAAGATTTATCACATTACGTGAATATGCATACAATTAAAAGTAGAGACTTAAATCACATTGAATGTCAAGAAGAGTCACCGTGCGCGAGATATCACGATATTACTCAGACAAAAGATTTAGAGATTAATGGCGCGCTCTTGTTGCAGTGTCTACTTTACGGTGAAACGAAAGTATCTAAACACACGTCGTAGCGAATAACAAATGCAAACATCGTGAGCGCAACAACGCCTTACGTTACAGCAAGACTCGTTTTCAGAGAGCAGAGTGAACTCCACTACGCGATGTGTGTGTGTGTGTGTGTGTGTGTGTGTATACCGCGGCGCGTTCCTCGCCTCACACGAGCGATAGGTACATACAAAGCGGCACTCCACCATCCCAATTTCGTCTCCTTCCACGACAACGGCGGCATTGTGTACGCGTCAGCGGCAGAACGATGATTAATCGATCGACTGCCACGGATATCGCCGCTGCTGCTCTCTTTTTCTCTTTCTCTCTTTTCGCGCGCGCCGTGGCTACCACCACGGCGGCCGAATGAAAAAGGCGCCGGAGAATAAGCCGCGTAATACCGCGGGACATGGCCGTTTCCATTAATAAATATCATATCGCTATTAAATCGAAAATATTTACACTGTCGCGCAACACACACTCAAACATGACCGCTGCCTTCTCTGAAGGGTCGCGGCGATCTCAGATCGTCGAGCTCGCGTCATCCTGGAGAAACGCGCCTCGTGAAATATACCGAGGAAACCGTCGCCCAAACCGCCGTCTAATCGTCGCGCAGTGAGTTTTCGTTTTTTTCTCCTTTTTTCAACCGTTCTCTCGCTTTCACCTTTTCTTTTTGCGCGAGAGTGAGAGAGGCCACCTGGGAATTTCCCAGATTAAATTGATTCGTACGCGGCACTTTGCGGCGGTCCGATGATCCGCCGCTGCGACCGCATCATTCATCTCGGCCGGTGTACTATTAGAACTGTTATTTATGGTGAAAAAGAGCGTGGAGACCGCGAGCGGCACCCATTATGTATCGAGATCGGGTCGCCCGGTGATTTATGCCGGCCGTGCAAATTGCCGCTTGTCCTTTGCAAGACGTAAGCGAAACGTCGCCGATTAAATCCCGCGCCGCGTCGTCGATCGTGATTTAGCGAAGTTTAGGAGGGCGCCGCTGTGCCGCCGCCGCCGCCGCCTCGTGATTGTGAAATTAACGATCAACGAGATTACGCTGTGTTTGTCAGCGAGGAAAAATAGTCGATATCTTTCCTGGCAGTGTGGTAATATCGCAATTGTTTGTATAAATTTAATTATAAATGAACGCGAAGATTGAGGTAACATGATGGATATACGTGAAGAACTTAAGCAGAAACTTGTACCTTTTAGACGTTTTATTTCAGTGACTATATTATTAACTGACATAGAAGACACAAGATTCAACAACGTCTTTATAAAGGACACAGAACAGTTTAGAAAAAGAAAAATCAGCGTCGATTAATATAAAAATTAACTGAAATTAGTTAATTAACTGATATTAGTTAACTCCAACGAAGTATGTTATATAACGTTAATTATACTTTGCCCTTATCATCCAATGTCTCAAAGAACTCCAACGTAGGATACCTTCGCAGGCACAACAACTCGTGTTCGGACTGCAACGCCAACAGCTCGGTGTAATTATCCTGAATCTTCCTAACCAGCTCGGATCGCCGCTTGTATAGTCGCATCTTCCAGTCCATGTGTTCGCGTTGTCTCGCCTCCATCGCGAGGTCTCGTTCATGTTCCATCCTCCAGCGTGCTACGTTCATCTCCGTGATACTACGATCGAGCGTGGCGTTCTTTTTCCTTATGGACGCGATCTTATCCCGAATCTTCTCCAGCTTGTCCGTCTCCTCGGCGAAGGTCTTCTCCAGCGAGTTCGTCGCGGCCTCGATCTGCCGCTGGAGACGCACTGTCGTTTTATCGTCGCGCCACTTTCTCGCCACCCTCTTCAGATACGTTTGCATGTCCTTGGTGACCGTGACGTCCCTGAGGAAGTGCAGGTCCTCCTCCAACTCCCGGAAGCGCGTCCTCAGACAACGGTGCTGCCATTCGAGCGATAATATACCATAGTGAAGGTCGATTTCGCGCTTCAAGGCGTTCAGTTTGCGCGAGCCCGCCGCGAGGATGTGCTCGTTGACCTTCTCGATCTCGAGGCGCGACACCATGACGGCGTCCACCGTGTCGCGTCGTTCGCCACGCAGATCCAATTCCACCTGACCTTTCTTCAACACCAGCTGCAACTCGACGTCCTGCTCGTGCGTCACTCGCTCATCCCTCATCCGTCTCAGCTCGCCACCGAGATAGTCCACGCGCGACTTGTTGACGTCGATCTTGCCATTGAAATCCGCGATCATCTGCTCCGCCGTGATCACCTCCAACTGCCGCGCTTGGATCCGCAGCTCCAGCTCAATCTTTTGGCGACGAGCCTGGACCAGGTGGTCCCAGTGGCTCGTGTGGACCGATTTCGGCAGCGTGACGGGTCGCGCGTCCAGACTCTCGAGTATTCTCGCATAGTCCGCGCATGCGGCCGGTAAGTAGACCGGCCTGACGTGACTCGTGAGGTATCGTCCAAGATTAATCAGATCGTGGGCGGTGGCGTTCTTCAGGGACACCTTCGGTCGTCGCTTGTATTGACTCTCGAGCATTTCGACGTGGATTTTGGGTAACGAAGGGAATTCCTGCGGCAATCTTCGTGCTATCGTCTTCTCACGAGCGCACAGAGCGTCGTGCTGTGTTTGTATGTCCTGGTACGCGTCGTGGAGCTTTCGCATATCCTTCTCCAACACGACGCTGTGCCGACGCGTCTCGATTATTTCACGTTTCACACGCTCGTCGTCTTTCAGCGCCTCGACCCGTGCCAGGTTGCGCGCACGGCCGCGCAGGTGACGCAACTTCAATTGATTTATCGCCGTGTCGACTTGTAGTTTTTTCTGCAAGGCAAACGACGCCGTGTACCAAAGTGTCCAGTAATCGCGTAACTCAAAGGCTGGTGAGAGCCGAGTATTAACGCGTAAACAAGGTCGCGTTAGCGTTGATAGACGGTCAACGCACACGTGAAAAATGCATATATCTACTTTGACCCGCGCTTTAACCCTAAATGCCATGCGACTTTGAAATCGTATACTTATATATCTATCATCTGTGTGTATTTTTAATCTGCCTTCGCTTATTTACCATTGCGTAACGTTACAAGTATATATTAAAGTATGAGTATTATGTTTAAAGATAATAAAATATATGTATATAAATTGAAATTTAACTATCAATTTATATCCCACGATAAGAAAAATATCAGCACGCTATTTCCTTGTTATGTAATTTTTTCAGAAGCAAAAGCAATTAAACTGCTAAAGATTATAAAAGCCTTTTCAATTAATTAACACGCCGGGACTAATAAAACGTTACATCAAAACAAATTATATCTCAAGTGCTCTTTCCTTGTCAAAAGTTTTTTTGACAGAAAATTACATGTCACCTGAAAAAGCTCCTTCAGCTTGGTATCAAACTTGTCGATGCCATCGCGCAATTGTGCAATGATCTTCGCGTAATCAGCCTCGAGTATTCTCTTGTAACGCTCGCGCTCTTGTCGCAGAACCTCTACGTCTGTTTTGTACTTTTTCACAGCCGCGATATCGGCCGGTGTGTACTGTTCCGGCTGTTTCTCCAACATACAAGCGGGCTCACGCACGTCTACCTTGATGGCATCCTCCCATCGGATTTCCAGCACGCCGTCCATCATCTTCATCAGGGCGCGTTCGCGAAAATCGTCGGCCAGTAGCAACTGCTTGACTCGTACGGCCTCTGCATGCTTTCTCAGAATGGACTGCAACGCCGGCGACACGTACGGCTTCGCCTTGACTTCGTGTTCGTGCACTTGAATAACACTCTCTACTTTCTCCTAATCGATATCGCATTTGCGTTACATATTTCATTGACAGCTCTCGTGACTTCGTGTGTCTTCCCGTACAAGTATTCACGTTAAAGTACGCCGAGAGGGGAAATTGTTGGGTCAGCCAAAAAGTTCTTATCCGCTATTTATCAGGCATTAAAATGATTTGATCTTTGGATCTTAAATTAAATTTATTGTTATTTTAAAATTTTACCACTATTAAATCGATTAAATTTTCAGCTTTCAGAATATCCGATAAAGAGGATATTTGAGACTTGCACTGAGAGAAAAAATACCTAAGAAATAATAAATATCCATTCGATGGATACTAATAATATATTTATTTGTATTGATATAAAATACTTTTCAAATAAGAAAATATGCATTTTCTTAAAATCTTAAAAAAGTCTTAGTTTTTCATGAAAAAAAAATTATTTATTCTGTTTCATTAAAAAAAATTTAGATTTAAATAAATACATTATATATATTAATACTCACCAAAGAAGTATTTACTGTTTTTCTAGATATTTTTTCTCTCAATGTACCTTGGGATGCCACTGCGGATCCTTGGGAACGTGCGGCAAACTCTGACCGAACATCGTCCTCATCTCGGAATCTATATACCGTATCCTTTCATTTCTCTCTTTGATCACGTTCATTTCCTGTTCCTTCGCCGCGTACATATTATCAAAGAGCTTGTTGAAGTAAATACGGAGTTTGTTGCAGTCGTCCATCAGATAACGATCTTCCAGTGTCGCCTGCACGAACCCATAAGACTCGATCTGTGCGTAATAATGAGGCGATTGTTCGACGAATCGACGCGTCGTCATACCTGTAAACAAACGCGATACCAATACACGACTCCAGAAGCTAAAGAGAAAAATATCCGTAGTGATAATAGAAACACAGAATCAGACGATTTGATCGTTCGATTCGACTCATTCTCAACCGATATAAAAAAGAACTGAATTTTCAAGAGAATTATTGCATCCCACCGTCGAAAGCCGGCTGTTCCGTCAGCTCCTCAACGTGGTCGATCTTGCGCTCCTCTTCTTCGAAGAGTACGTCCATCTTATATTCCTCGTGTTCGCGTCGCACCCTCACAGGTTTGCTGAGTTCCGCCTGGAGCTGGTCATCCATGTACACACGCCACGGTTGGAAGGCGTCGCCGTCGACGATGTTGCGCACCGACTCCCTGGTGAATTGCGCCCACTGCAGGTGTTCCTTGAAGTACGGATCCTCCGCGAACAATGAGTAATTCGTCACCTCCGTATCACTGCAAAAAGAAAATATCGAGCGACCCAGCACGATCTGCGAATCCCAAAAGGTCTTTTTGATCCAGCTGGCCACGCGATCGGTCGAGGCCTGCACGTGCTCCAGCTCCATGTGGACGTCTTCACGCTCGTCCCTGGCCGCCTTGGATTGTTGATCGCGACCCGTTCTGTCCACGTCGAACGCGGACACCGGTAGTCTCTCTATTTCCGGACGCGTCTCGTTCGCGTCGAGAAGCTGCCGCACAGACTCCTTCAACGCCTTCAGATCCTTCATGATCGTGGCTCTTTCTGCAACATAGAGCGTCGCTTCTTCGCGCATCTGCGCGCCTTCTCGCCATTCCTCCCAAGTCTCGTTACTGCCGTTCACCGGGAACTCTTGTCGGGCTCGAGTCAAAGAGGCACGAATCGCCGGGTCCAGGCCAGCATAGTCTTCCAATATCTTCTGCATCCACTTCTCGCGCCATCCGTGATCCACCGGATACGTGGAATTCTCGGTGCCGGTTACGGCCGACAATGCTTCTCTCTTCTATACTGAGAACAAGATGTAGATACATTCTTTTTTCTAAATCGTACACTCGATATTGCGTACTTTCACTCATTCTAAATGAGATCTGATACCAAGAAGTTTAGACAGTAATTATATAGTACTTTCAAACGTAATTATCGCGAAGAAATCACGAATTATTCTCTCGTTATTGCACACCTTGCCTGCACGATGAATGCATATCGCGATCAGAGAGCCGTCATGACCGAGAACGACCAGCCTGTCAGCCTCGGGGGTGACGATGGCCTTCCGATTGCCCGAGTCGAGTCTGTGATGCGTCGACACCACGGCGACGATCTCGCGTATCTTACCGCGGACGACCACCAATCCGTCGTAGGCGCACGTGATGAACCAATGTCGGTCGCTGAAGACGCGTGCGAGCCGCACGTGGTGGCCCGTGAGCGCCGTGTCCACCAAGGTCGCGTTCTTGAATTCGCGCAACTTCACCATGTGCAGCTGTCGGCTGAGGTAGGGCGAGCCGACTAACATCATCCGGGGATTGTCGCCGGGCGCGTAACGCAGCTCGCGATAGAGCCCGGGCAGCGAGATGATCGCGCTGCTGATCGTGTCGATCAAGTAACACGTGTCGCGTCGCGGCACGTCGTACACGCGAAGCTGGTGACCTGCCGTGAATTGTCGGTACGTGACGCAGAGAGCAAGAATCTTCAGGTTTTTGTCGTCGTCGTTATCGTCGTGCAACACTACGTCGGTGATACGTCTGTTCAAGCGTAGCTGGGCCGTCACACTCCACGGCTTGTCGCGCCGCAGGTTTACGCAATAGCAATTACCCCTCTCCTTCTGCGCGGCGATCAGGAATCTGCCGAGGGAGATAAATCGAACGCGACTGAGAGGCGTGTAATCCGCGCGTAAAAGGGCACCCGTTTCTCTCGCTCGCGAACGTTATGCGTCGCGGAGGTGCAGTTGAACTCGATCCGAGTAAAAGAAACAGAGAGAGAGAGAAAGAATCTCACAGAATCTTTTATATTAAAAATATTTTTCTTTTGTATTATCAAGAGGATTGGACATTTATAAATAAATAACTTAATAAATAAGTAAAACCGACGCTGACTGCAGCGAAGCTGTTTTCGCAAGATGTAACGAATGATAATTGTTCTTGTAATGTCTCAATTATTAATATTGTAATATTCTAGTAATAGACTTTCTTCTACAAAGGGATTACTTGAGGCTTACTTGCCGGAATACGAGAATCTAACGAGATCGAGGGGCTTCCTTTGAAGACGAAAATGCATAAGTATCATCGGCTTTTCCGGATCGATGACACTCAATATCACCATTTCACCCTGATCGCTGACGACGGCGATCAACGGGTCGTCCGGATGCGCGGCTTGATCGGATATAACGCCTTCCATGTCAAGCTCCACTTTGGCGACTTCGCTGCCACTGTAGCTCTCGAGAATGGTTAATTCCTTGAGATCGTCCGTCACTGCGAGATGATGACACCAGGGACGCACAAAGTCGAGGAAGCGATACCTACTGCCGTTTTGCAGGTGTCGCTGAATGCTAGGCGCGGTGTTCTCGTTCTCGGGGAAGACCATCTGCACGAGGTAGCCTTCGAGAGTGTAGTAAAAGAGCCAATCGTTCTTGAAGGGATGCGCGGCCAAGATGTACGGCTTACTGATCGACTTGATGTACCACTGCTTGTGCCAGAAGTCGGTCTTCGGGTTTTTCTGAAAGTAACGAATCTGACAGAAGGTCGTCCGGAGAATGATTCCACCTCGGAACCAGCATATTTCCGGCATCTCGATATCCAGGCAAATCCCACAGCGTTGCGAAAGGACGATTTGACGAATGCCGGTACCGTCGTATCTGCTCAGGTATATGTGACCGTCTTTGTCTGTGATGGCCAACAATGGATCATTCTGCACGGGACACCAATCAACCCCGTGAATTATAGCGTCGCCAGGCAGCTTTACTTCATGATCTTCGCGACAGACACGAGTATACTTGTAGAAACAATGTATTTCTTTCGAGGATCCTCATTTGGCGCAGAAGAGGATCGGATCTATTTGTCTAAGGATCATGTTGACCTTTGGTTTATGTATCTGTTGTGAAACAGTGATGAAGGATTTGCAAACTCTCTTTTTCTGAACATGGAATAGTATTCATGTTTTGAAAGGAATATTCATTTTATACATTTTCTAAAAAACATATAGCATAAGTATATTTCTGAAAGAGATAATTGCAAAATTTTTCAATTCCTTTTCCATTATTTCTGTAACAATAAATACATAAACGATAAATACATAACCAATAAATACATAACCAATTTAAGCCAATCTGCCTTGTATAGTTAGACACGAAAGATTCGAAACATCTGTCACCTAACGTGCCTTTCAAGATGACAAGCTTGCTGACGACATCAAGCTCCCAGGTGAGTAGTTTGCCGCAGGTCTTGCCTACTTGGGCGATGATGGTGCGACCAACCGGAGTTACCTTGATCGTCTGACCGACTTCGTCGCGCACAGGCGTGTCTATGACAATAATCTTCTCACCCGTTCGCCAACACCACACGATCAACGGGAAGTTCGGGTAAGAACCCAACGACACAAGGTGATCACGTGCCGTGAACGCGATCGCCAGGTAACTGCTGACGCAACCCTGAACACACTCGCAGATCTTCGTCATTGCCGGATAAGCGAGAACGAAGATTCGTGGATTCAGCGATCTCTCGGAGAAGGCGAAGATCGACGAGGATACGTGTCCGGATATACGATGGGCGCCGTCGCCGGTAATTTGGTTCCAACACCAACGTACTGTTTGCCGTCTCTTTGCCACGTGAAAGAATACAATGTACAAACCGACGCACCAAGCAAGCACGTCTTTGCCGATCCAGACTATCTCTTCGATTTTACTGCCGCGCACCCAGCATGGTGTCTTAATAATTCGATCCATTTACGCGAAAAGAATGATTAGTCAATATTAATTAGACAATAAAGACAACTATCGTCAAATCGGTTGAGTAACCTAGAAAGACGCAAGAGAATATTGACAACAGTTGTAAGAAGAAAAACAAGTCAAAATCGGATCGGGTATAGAGTACTATTCATGATTTCTCAAGAAATATAGAGAATAATGTTAGATTACAATTAACAAAGAATAGGCTTATAAACATATCGAAAAAGGTCGAAGAAAAGCAAACATAAGCAAAAATAACCCGAAATGGAAAAAATCTGCTTATATCAAATCTATAATTTATAGTCCAATCTAGGTGCTAAAGAAATAAACAGAATTATCCCTATCTTTACGTATCTTCACGCGTAATTGAGATATGAATTACACAATTTCATAAAGTGAAGGTGAACGACCGCGTCAACTACTTCAGGCGCGCAACGAGTGAGTGGGGAGACAAACCCCGTAACCCCAGCGCCAACGCGTTGAACGCCCTCAATATCGTTTCCGGGAACGGCAGCTGACCTTGAAACAATGTACAATCTCCCAATTAATTGTAATTATAAAGTAAGATGAAAACATTGATAGTATAAATATAATATGAATTTTTATGACAGTCTAATGGCGAGTTATTAATTATACATAATTTGTAATACATCAATAAAAAAATGCTGCTTCTCTGACATGACACAACGACATACGACGTTCATGTGTGCAATCTTTAATCTAGAGTCAAAATAAGGAATAGTCGTGGACACAATGTCCTATGTATCGTTACAAAAGTGTAAGTGTGTGTAACAAATTAAGTGTAAATGGAAGACCTGCAAGCATGATTGAATTTAGAGATACAATAATGAATTTTCGTTTGACCTTCATTGGCATAATTTTAGGTTATTAAAAATTACACAAATACACACACACAGACACATATACACCGGAAGACCGGTCTACTCGCAAGTACTCGTTGTTCAATGGTGATGACGGATATTAGGTGTCTTCGACAGTGGAATCTGCGCACCGGTCTTTCTCGGAGAAAGAGTTTGGCAGGCTTAAGACAAAAGGTGATTAGGATACGCGCAGTCGATGGTGGTATATAAAGACCCCCATAGCGTGGCGTGATGAGGTCAAGCAGCAGGGAGTCATCCGTATAGCGAAGCCCGATCAAAAACTTATCCTTGCCCACGTGATATACTGCCCGTAGATGCCTGCCAAGCCACGTTCTCCCTTTGCTTGCTCCCTCGCTCGCTTGCTCTCACCTTCTCTCTTCAATTCGTCATCTCCTTTCTCTCTCTCTTTCTCGCACCTTCGACCTGGTCCCGACTGCTCTCGCTGACCGGCAGTCTGACTGACTGACTGACTGACTGCCTACCTTGAGACTCTCTGCCTGACTTCACAGCCTGGCGTCTCCGCAGCCGAACGTGCTGCGTGAAGACGCCTCACTTCGTTCTCGGCGTTATTTGCGCTGGCCGATCGCTGGAAGGTCGCCTCACCATTAAAGTGACGCCCGCTGAGATTTGTATTTGCATAACCCACCCGGCCCGATCGACGTTATCGACGAGTGCTCGTGAACAACGACGAGCGGCGCGTACTTGCCCTTCCGGCGCTTAGACCGGCTCGCGTGGGAACCTGAGAGACGGCAGGACGCTATAATATCGTGCACCTTGCAGTGGGTGACTCCAATCGGCCGGCTCGGTAGTTGTTAACGCAACTATGCGCCCGCAGGAATGCGCGCGCGGTGCTTGGACCAATCGTGACTTCCTACACGAACGTATTATAAGAAAAAAAAAGAATGGAGAACAAGAAGAAAGAGACGTGTCGGAAGAACATATTACTTGGTTCGATGCGACATATTATGACAAATTGTCTCACGGATTTCCATGTCTGTCTGACACTTTCATAGACGACTTCTTCGCGCATCGCACGCCGCCGAGAAGATGACCGAGAAAAATGGTGATCCGACGCGGGAGAGCGTGATGGAAAGCGGCGCGGCGCGGCCAAAGGGGCACCTCATCCGCGTGTACATACGTACCACACGCACACGTGCTGCGCGACGCGGCGCAGCGCGGTGTGGACGAACGCGCGCTGCAGTAACCGCCGTCTCGTATCACATCGCGTCCATGCAGTGTGGGAAACCACGCCGCACCGAGACACAGACAAAGAGAGAGAGAGAGACTCATGGTGGGCCGGGGAGAACGAAGAGGAGGAGGAGGGCACCGCGAGAAGAAGGAAAAGGAAGAGGGAACGACTCGGCAGAGTAGCATTTAATCAGAACCCCGCGTCGAAGTGCACGGTACACGTGTACGTATATACTGTAGGGTAGGAGGGAGCGGTATATGGTTCGGTTAGTTTTTGCTCGGGAGGTTGCCTGGAAATTGGCGCCAAATTAGTAAGGAGGACGAGGCGAGGCTCACGGTGCCTTGGGCTGCGTGACGCGAGACATTAAAAGTAACCTCTGCTCTTGTACACCCCCGTCCCTCCGCCGATCGCTGCTGCCTTGCCGCCTATGCCCCTCCGCCGCTACCCTGACGGTCGTATCCTTCTCGCTCTTCCTCTTCGCAGCATCACAACAACTACTTCTTCGTCTTCTTCTTCTCCTGCTTCTTCTTCTTCTTCTTCTTCGTCTCCTGCTCCTCCTCCTCCTCCTCCTCCTCCTCCTCCTCCACAAAGATGTCCGTGCTCCGGAGGAACGGGCAGCAGCTTAGAACTCCTCGGCCTCCCAGTAATCACGTCCGCCCAACGAAAGGAAACGAGAGAAAAAGAAGGAATTCGCACTTACGCCGAACTCGGGTCTGCGTAGCGATTGGGGGGTAGGTAGGTAGGCAAGGAGCAGGGGTGAGAGGAGGGGGATGGCAAGGAGAAGCGTGTGATACCGAGCCGAGGCCGGTCGAGAATAGTCGTTGTCGAAAAAGGGTATCACGCCAGCGGTCGCGAAAAAGTCAAGTCGGCACATCCCCGAGTCGCTGGCGCATCCATAGCGCACGGAACGACGCTGACGGGACCAACGGGAGGCCGAAGTCTCTCACGGGGTCCGAATGTTTTTGTCGCTGGTACCCCGAAGACGGTGCCGTGCTGCGACGCGGGCTGCTTTCCGGAAAGTGGACGGATGTTCAAGGTAAATTTGTAAGCGCCACGCTCGTTTTCGATTGATGGGACCTCACAGCGAGAAACGACACGAAACGGGAATTTACATTCGCCTGTACCGAGAATCTGAGTTTTCTAATGCCTTAAAACGCACATATGCGTATGGCACGATTGCGAGGAGAAAAGATTGATTAACAAGAAATAATTCGAAATATATAGCGTACGATTTCAATTTCAATTTTACTCAATAACTTCAGTTTTAAAATTTCATTACCAGTTCATGTTTCTCATGAAAGGGTAACATCACATACGTGCGACAATGGACATTTTTTTCTCAAAGTTCACATAAATACAAATCAATAATAATGATGTTACTTTACTGTGCGTATAAAATACGCAATATAGATACACACACAAGGTCAGGTAAATTTGTTTTACACTATTATATAAAAAGACACAGAATGATTAGTAAGGATTATAGAAATAGCTTTCTAAATAAATTATGATGGTAAACGCGTTAATTTTACCTAATCTTAATTTTACCGAACAAGCCGCCGATCTGACATGCTGGTTGCCAGATATCATCAAGTCATCAAGAAGCGACAACTATCGATAATACGATGAGAAACAAAAATCCCAGTTTCTCGTCCGTCTCGTCGTGCGAACTATCGACTCGACTCTCCCTCATCGCGAGGATATCCGGCCGCGAGGGAGGGAGATAAACGTAGATTCAGTGGTCATTCACTCGGCGAGACCGGTCGTTCACTGGTGCACCTAGCCCGGTAATTTGATTTCCATTTCCATCCGAGGGAGTCTGGCGGACCACTCGAACACGACCAAAACGCTACTCCCATTACGAATAGACCCGAGCTCTGATTTGCACCGGCGATAGCGCCGGCACACACCAGGCGTAGAAAGCGCCGGCGGTGAAAAAGGATATGAACGACGAAAAGGGTGGACTGGCGGGACGGCGGGGTGAAAGGGAGGGAGGGAATCCGTCCGCCACGTCGCGCAGGGATTCACCTCCAATCGGGGCAGCTGCGTTTTGGCCGCCGTGCGTGCAACGCAGAAGAAAAAGAAAAAAAGACATAGACGCACAGAGAGAAAGAGAGAGAGAAAGACTGACCGGCCGACCACGTGTAAGATTATAGATGCGTCGCAGTGATCACAGACAAAACGTTTAAGTCGCTAAGCGTCAAATTATACGCGGCGCGTTCGCGTCCCTCTTACCCCTCTCTCTCCCAGCTCTATCCTTCCCTCCTCCGCCGTTGCCCTGCCTCCTGCCGTTTTTCTCATTCTTCTTCCTCTGTCTCTCTCCGGTCTCGGGTGCCGTAAAAAGTAATAACAGGCCTCGCATAGATTCGGCTAGCTGCCGACTTTCGGTATCATCTCGCTCTCGCGCCGACAGCTGCACGATTCATCGCGCGTAGACTCCTCGTCCGAGTCGTTGCTACATCGTGGCGGCTTGTTTTGGATCGCGCGACCACGCGCACGATTATTTAGAAGTACCTTGTTTCGCTTCGAAACGGATACTGCAACGCAAACTGAAAAATATAAAGAAATGAGGAGGAGGAGGTGGTGGAAAGGGATGATTCGACGTGTCAGATGTGTAATCATTTAAAAACCGTACTTGAAATCCCATTCTTTCTCTCTCTCTCTCTCTCTCTCTCTCTCTCTCTCTCTTTCTCTTTCTTTCTCTCCTATGTCGAGAGCACGGGACTAACGTAGCTGACTGGCATCCCGAGCTCACGTTCGGCATCACTGCTAACGGCGTCGCACCGACGCGACTAACCGTGTCGAATCGCGAATTTTCGCTCGCGTTGCGCAATTTCACACGCGGCCACGCGGGCACGTCGATTGTATACCAGTCGGCGGATTCAAGACGGGACGCTCGTTTAACGCCGGTAAGTACGTAAGCTCGC